GAAAATTAATCACATACATTTAAAGAGTACATATTAGTGATAGTTTATAATGGTCATTTGGAAGAACAAAGTTAGAATAACCTGCAACTATGCACCAATCTGCACAGTTTGAAGAAGACAATCAAGCGAGCAACATATTAACAGGAGAAGACGGAAAAGAAGAAGAGAACAGTAAACTTACTTTTCAGAACACTCAATTCCTAGAAACTCTGAGTTTAGACTTAATTTAAAAACTGTTAAATTTAAATTCAGTTTTCCATGCTTAATACCATGGAGGCGACGGCGTTAAAAATTACTACAAAAACTGTTCAAGATGAATCTGTATCTCATTATAAAATTCACGCACATCAAGATTTATGTATTTTAACATGTATTTTAACAAGCGAAAGTTCAGTACATATCACTGGTAAATTCACAAAAGACGATGGGAGTGCTACATCGAACAGATTTTTACTCGCAACAATGGTTGCCTGTTTCTTATTGAAAGAAATGAGATATGAATTAAACAGAGTTGAAATTGATCGTAGTAAAAATGCGGGCATTACAACACTCATAAAGGGATTTCCATCATTTAGACCAGACCAAGAATATTCTTTAGAAAACAGTGGAATGGTACTTAATAATAAAAAACTATGTGATTCAAATGGAAATTTTGACGTCATCATACCTCTAAAATTATTATTCAGATTTGCTGAGGATTATAAACAAGTCATTGTTAACTGTAAACATGAGCTAATACTTGAGTGCAATACATCAAACTGAAGCAGCTAATGCAGCAACAACAGCGGAAAATGTATACATTACTCTTGGTACAATTGAATGGTTGGTACCATATGCTACAGTGTCTGATTCAAAGAAAAGTGATATGTTAATTTACATCAGTAAAGATCCATCGATATCGATACCCTACAGATCATAGGAGCTATATGAATATCCATCTTTACCTATAACAACGGAACACATCTGGTCTGTGAAGACAACAAATCAACGCGAGAAGCCAAGATATATTATATTTTCATTACAAACTGAACATAAAAATCAATTATCAAAACGCGCTGATATATTTGATCATTGTAAAATTAAAGATTTTGCTGTTTATTTAAATTTACAGCGATATCCATATGCTAACATGAAATTTGATATTCTAAATAGTAAATATGCACTCTTGTCTGAAATGTGTACAAACTTTTATTCATCCTATTATAATAAAAATGTTAGGGGGCCATACTTAAATCAAGAGAATTTTATGGAAAGACGACCGATTAATGGAATAGATTGTTCATGACAAAATGAATCTATTAAAGCAGGTCCGGTTGATGTTCGACTTTAATTTCAAGCTAATAAAATGTTCCCAATGGGTACAACTGCATACTATTTAATTTTACATGATAGTGCTGAGAAAATCTCCGTTTAAGTATAGGAAAGATTGTGCCGGAATAGAGCAAACAGAAGTCAGGTTTTAACAAAAATATAGAATCTTTATTTTTAGCACTAATAGATACACGACTTACACTATACTACTTTTTTTCACTAAATACAAGAAATGAATGTGAAGTCTAGAAATCACTGAGTGTCAATTGTGGTTACTGAATTTTAAATTAAATGTCTAAAAAGTGCTCAACTTGGTGTGTTCGATATTATTGACCTCCCACATGAGCTCAAAACGCTTCTCAAGTTGAGCAAAAATATGATTGTGCGCGTAGCGTTAGCCTATCAATGCAATGCAAAATGAATTTATTGTACTTTTGTGCATTTACTATGAAATGTCTTGCAATGTTATTTGATTTCTATTGTAGAATTAAACTTAAATATTTTTGATGATTCACAATAGCACTAGCACTAATGAGTGACTCAAAACTTCAAGATTTTTTAGGAAAGAATTCGAATAGCGTGTACACGTGAACGAGAATAGAGAAAGAATGGCGACAGGAACTTCATTAGTCAAAAGAGACAGGAAATTAATCAAATGAGTGACTAGATTAAGAAATATGGATTATTTGGTCGATTAGTTATCGACCTAGTCCCGAGATCAACGCCGAAGTTCCTGTCAGCTGGCAAATTCAAACTGAGAATTGATTAATTCTCAACAGATAGAATAGTTGACCATTAGGTGGACAAATTCGTAAATTGATTCAGAAAATGCATAATTATATGCTTATATTTAAGTGTAATTTCAAAAATTGTAATGACTTATATACTTATATACAAATGAAAAATTTAAAAAAAAAGCGTTGTATTTCTTTGAAAAAAGTCTTATAAATATTTTAGGATTGAAGGTTTTCTTATTATAGGAATAATTCAGAAGCATACATATAATTAATCTTGAAGTTCATTTGAAGAAGGAAATAAAAATTATATACAATACTTAATACTGTTTTGAGTCACTCATTAGTGCTAGTGGAATCCACTCCTAGATTAGGTACTAATACCTAATACCTAATCTAGAGATTAAGTGCAGGTCTCGAGTCTCTACTCTCTAATGCTATATAAAGCAATTTAACTCAATAAAAAAAACTAATGGTTGAAAAACTAATGTACAATACAGTTTATGAACACAGATAAGAATGATTAAATTACTTAAAGCAAGAAAAAAAAGCAAACGGTGCAAACTAACCATTGCTAATGAGATGTATATATAGATATATATTAACACAGATTATAATAAATGAAAATATAACACAATCTTAATAGTAACATTTTACTTCACTTCGAAGAAAAACTTTTTCTTCACTAGACGAATATTGAGTATGCTTCTTTTGAGATATATAAAAATATGTCCATTCTATTTTACTGCTCTTCTGATTCGGATTAATGATATTCAGTTATACATGTTTAAATAATAGGAAAAATGCCATAAATTCATTTCCGTTTGTTCGAAAACTCATAGTAAACATTCATTGAGACATGACTGATATCAAGAATGCTAAACTAGAACATGATGAGCTACGTACATTTTTTATCATGATGAAAATAATAAACAATTAGATTTTATTGCAAACGAACAATTGACGTATATGTGGCTCTTTTCCTCTAATAAAAAATGGAAAGGAGTAGTTTCCGATGAGTCAGGAAAAATAATAAACAAAACGATTCAAGTTCTAACCAATGATTATCGCGTTAGTGGCTCTTGAACTGCGATAAAAAAAAAAGAAGGGGTAGTGTCCTATGAGTGGGGATCGTTTTTTTTGTTCCTTTGTGTTGCACGTTATGTAATTCATTAATCGGCTGCTCTGTTCGGCCTATTTAGGGTTTGTTAATTCTCGTTTATTGAACGTTCGAAATTTCAGGTCCGTATTTAATGTTGCTCCTGAATTTTTTAAAGTATCCTTAAAATTTCAATAAAATCATTTATTATTATGTGACGTTCGAGCGAACGTCCCTTAATTTATTATTTGAAATTATGAGAGAAATTCAAGAAAGAATTGACAGCTAGATACTAATCTACTACTGAACTCTTCCCTGAATACCGGTAAACGAGGTTTAGTACTAACCAACGTACCAGGTACTCTGATAACTTCTTTTTCACTTATTTGTGTTCTAAGTCAGGTAACGAACACGGATTCGGATACACTTATGGTCTCGAGAAACCTAGATATGTTCTTTCAAAGGTTTTCTTTAAATGAAAGAAAGATTGAATTTTAATGATTTTTATTTTATAACTTCTCAACGAAATATTGAATTAAAACAAGAAAAATATTTAAATGAATAATAATTAATAATTAATTACCAAATATATCCTTGCGGTGAGGTGTCACTTTAACTTACACTAATAAAGTTAAAACAATCAAGACTCTAGGTATGATTGATTCTGACTTTATATCCCAACTATCAGTCCAAGACCGAAGTATGGCCCTAATAATTAGGTCGAGCCTATTCAGAGTTCACTGGAGGTAAGGTAGTGTCTCTTTTTATTTTTCAACCTTACTCCGAAGCAGAGTTAAACAGCTCCCGAAGTAAGTTCTACGAAGCAGAGTTAAACAGCTCCCGTAGAATGTTGAAAAATAATTGAGTGAAATAATTTTTAGGCTATATTCTCAACCTTACTTCGAAGCAGAGTTAAACAGCTCCCAAAGTAAGTTCTACGAAGCAGAGTTAAACAGCTCCCATAGAATGTTGAAGAATATAAAGGAATAAATAATATTGGAACTATATTTTCAACCTTAACTTCGAAGCAGAGTTAAACAGCTCCCAAAGTAAGTTCTACGAAGCAGAGTTAAACAGCTCCCAAAGTAAGTTCTACGAAGCAGAGTTAAACAGCTCCCATAGAATATTGAAGAATATAGTAAAGGATAGGTTACCAGTGAATCTGAATTTTTGGAGAAGACTGACAATTAGAGACAAGTCAGAATCAACGCCAGAAATTAGACTGAAGATTCCCTAAAAAGCGGCCCTTTTTATATCAAATGAGGCCCACTTACACATGTTATCTTGAGATATATGTTTAGAGGTCTTGATTGTGTTAGTATGTAGACGTGGAACTTTAGTCGTGGCGTTTTTGACGTCAAGAGATTTCCACATCTATTATTTCGTAAGATCATAGATAAGCTAACATGATGAAATCTCGTCCCTTATCTATTGTTTCATGAATAACAATTGTGGCCCTATAGGGTCTTATAGTTAACTTTTATTGTTACTGATGGTAAAATAGATTTCTTCCTTTTAAATGGACGAGAAATCATCCAATTTTACGGTTGTGACAATTAAAAAGTAGTTGATAAATCCAACTACTTATATGAGTAATAGAATTTAATATCTAATTTTTTGTATTTTTATATCATTATGTATATATGATTATAATACATTTTAAACAGTATATTAAAGTACAATATAGGCCATACATTTTCTGAATCAAGAACGTAAATAGATCGGGTAGCACAGATGAACAAGCCCTATAAGATGATCATCACATGTACACCAATTTATATAATCGAATCTTGATATAGCAAAATATCTGTGATTAATAATTCATTGAATTATTAATTGGATTGCCGCTTATAAAGAAACAACTTCCATCATTTATGGCAAAACGACTCCATGGTACAACGATTACATTTACCAACTCTGAATCACATTTGGTAAGCGTAATATTCATACTTTTCTTATAATAAAATAGTTGCACGATATCTCTCCACAGCTTATAATATATAGTAAAGCAGTTGTATAGCTTATGAACAGCTAACACTTCACTCACAATAATTATATTTATATCACGATTGCAATGTTCACAAAGATTAAATTGCTTGAACTTTCAAAAAAAATTGTTCATCGAAATAAAAAAAATGGCAAGCAAAAAATAAAATTATACATTCGAAAAATTGAAGAATTCTTTTTTATCCATATATTTGAACAATTTGACGTTTCATTCACCAGATAACGTCTTGAAATTATCTAAAGAAAATTCAATTACTCTCTTGGTATGAATGTAAACATGACATTTTTCGATTATTTGCACTGCTTCCTGTGATTTTGATCGAAAATCTCATGTCCACTAGATAATAATGGCATATTGTATCATATCTTTACGTTTTAAAACATTTGAAAGCATATTAGACGGTTCGAACATGGATGCATGTATGTATGTATATATGTATGTATGTACGTGCGTGCATGCGTGTGTTTGTATGTCAAGTTCTTTGCGTTTTCGATGTTTCGAGACTACTGAAGATATCAACTTCCAACGGATTACATTAAAAAGATAATACAATGAAGAAGATTTGAAAGAAATGTAAACAAATTTGGTCGATTCGTTTTTTTTTTCCTCCATAACGAAAAGAGTGTAAAATAAGCTGAGTCCAGACGACCTTTGAAAGAGATTCTACTTATAAAATGATTAACATTATTGACAACTGAGGTCAACATCTTAAAGATAATTAAGAACTTTATGTGAGCCTGGATGATAGTATATTGTTTGTAAGAACAGTTATTTTCTATGAGCATAAAAACCAAAAAATAAATATGAATTCTAATCGATAGTAAGTTTGTCGTCAGAGTCAAAATTAGGCCCAGACCAATTTTTTATACGAAGATTTAAAATATTCTATTGCTACGACATCGTCTGCGTCAATACTATTTTACTGTTATGAAAACTGAGAAACTAAGCGTAGTTACGCATAAATATTAAAATCTATGTTTTTTTCGGTATATCAGAAAAATCTCATATTCATTACATCCGATTCATGTGATGTATTTGAGTAACATGAAAATAGATCGATAAAGTAGAGTATGAAATACTTGATTTCTAGTTTGAACGGCTCAATACCTAATACCTAGAAAGTAAATGTGTTGAGAATTCACCCACCGGGCAATTCTCGATTTGAATGACCAGCTGATTGGAAAATAGGCGCCATCTTGATGTCGATAGAAGATTAATCAATATTTGAGTTGGTCTATTGACCCAATTCTAACATTTAATTTGACCTCCAAGTACTTCTGTCTTTCTTATCACGCCGTTCCTTGCTGTTCATTCTTAACAAGGACACGCGTGTTTTGAGTCAACATTTAGATTCACCAATCTTCTTCATTCAAGTCAAGTTTAGTAATTAAAGACATCAGTGTATTACACTTAACTATTCTGGTATCTTCTGAAGTGGATCCATCGCATTGTACGCAGGTTAACTACAATGTGCACATTCATCTTTTAAGGAGTGTACAGTGTACCTCTTGAACCATTTCACCAATCATCAAACATTTATTCGAAGAATTTTTAAAACATTCAACCAACTAGATTAGAGAAATTCTTGCGATTATTTAATCTGTGATCGTGATATTTAAATAAAGTGAAAAAATATAATTCTTATCTATTAGCTCATTACGATCACCTGAAAGCGTCCAATATTCAGAATGAGACTAGGTATTACTCGCCTAGGTGTTCGAATGTGAACCGGGTTCGAGTCCCTTTGCATTATTTTAAGTTTGGTCGAATTCGTCACAAAATGAAAAAAAAAGAAATTTATGTGTATTAATAATTCCCTGAAAACGGAAATTACTAGATGTAGGGCAAAACATATTTTTTAGAGTAGACCAATTTTGGGCGACTTGAACCAATTTAGCCTAAATTTTTATGAGAAAGAAAAACTCGCAAGGTCTCACGTCAAAATTGGGCTAACAACGAAGGTATCCCGATATGTCAACTCCGATCTTTTGGTGGCTAATATACATTACTCTGTATCATATTTAGATGAGAAGAACGTATTTTTTACTTTTGTTAACACACCTTTTTTGAAAGAGAAATAGCCTCCTAAACATAACCACCCTTCTCGGCAGTTTGAGAGTTTTATGTACTTTTGGTTAATGTTTTTTTCTTCAAAGGACTCAATGGGATTAATTTACATGAAAAATGCATTCATACGTGCAAATACATATATGGTAATTATTTGGTTTAGGTTGCATATGCATGATTTTCTTTAAATTTTAGTATCTTACACAATTTTGTGTGCTGAGCAAAAATATCTATATATTGGGCATGGGAAATATTTCTTCACATAATTTTTGAGACTTGAAAATTGAAAGATGTATACTATCTAGAGTAGTTGGGATTTTGAAAATATTTGATGTTAGAGAGATTGAGAGTAGAGGAGAGGGTGTTGAGATACAGGCCTAAATTTTTAACACACTCTCTCCCCTGTCCTATCCTCAATCCTCTCTAATATCAAATATAACTAGTTACTACTTATATAATAATATGACCAGCGAGCTCCAAAAATTGATTTTGTGTCATCATATTCGATTCAAAATTTCATCCAGTAAAGATTATCTAAATTATTATCTAAATTTTCAACTTTGAAAAAGTATGTGAAGAAACAATTTCCACGTCCTATATATATATACAGTGTGTTAATAAAAGGGTAACCGCAGAATACACCACCGTAATCTACGTAAAAAACTGAATAAAAAATTCCTGTGCGAAAATTGCGTGCGAAAATTATTTTTAGAGTTATACGCGTTTCAAAGTCGTAAAATTTGACCAATCAGAGAGCCGGTCACATAATGATAAGCGTCAATTACAGTACAACGGAAATAAAAATTTATTACATACATTGTTGATAAGTTTGCGAAACGAAATGACGATCATGAATATTTAACGGTTAGAAACTTCGGGTGAAACGTGAACATAGGAAGCCTTCTGTTGAAAAAAAGATAATTGTAGATGAATGCGTTAATTAATAAAAAAATTAAGACAGAGAATGAAAAATGGAGAATTTTTTGTTTTTTTTCGCAATTCTGTAAATTGGCAAAAATAGAGGAGTTATTAAATAATATAAACGACAAATAATAAGTAAACATTGAAGTGAGACAACTTCACATGTACAAGCTGTTATCATTGTTTATTGAGCGCGAATAGACCGCATATGTAGAATAATACTTAGGATTAAAAATAATTCTATGGTTATTTTTAATAACCATAGAATAAATTAATTTACTCACTCAATCTCTATTAGAGATGGATGCGAGAGAATTAGAAGAGTGTGTAGATTAGGAAAAAGGAAATGTATTGTGAGTAAATAAATAAGAGTAAAGACAGAGTTAAGAAAAAAAGAGATTAAGTAAGTAAATGAATAAAAGAAAATAGAGGGATTGAGGGAGTGAATAAAATTTTGAAAAAAAACAAATTACGTATGTAAAAAATGGCAGAAAATTAAATAAGAAGATGAACAGAAGAAAGAAGAGTAAACAACTGGAAGATACATGAGAGAGACTTAGATAAATAAATAGATAAAAAATAGAAAAAAAATTAAGGAGGTAGATAAATGAAAGGATAGGAAAAGATTTACTAAGTAGATGGATGAGAGAGAGGAGAGTTGTGGGAGTCAATAAATAAGAAATAATAGAGAAATCAAGTAAGTGAATAAAGGAGAGAGAATGAATAAATCAAGTGAGGAAATGAATGAGAGAATCTAATGAGTGAATGGATTAGAGGAGAGGGAGTGTATGAGTAAGTAGATAGATAAGAGAAGAGAGTGTATGAGTGAATAGATGGATGAGAAAAAGGAGAGAGTTTCTGTGAGTGAATGAATGAGAAAGAATAGAGAAATCAAGTGAGTGAATGAATGAGAGAATCTAATGAGTAGATAGATGAGAGAAAAGGTAGTGTATGAGTGAGTGGATGTATGAAAGAACGGAGAGAGTTTCTGTGAGTGAATGAATGAGAAAGAATAGAGAAATCAAGTGAGTAAATACATGAAAAAAAAAAACTGAGATTTAATAAGTAGATGGATGGATGAAAAGACAGATAATGTGAGTAGATAAATGAAAGAGAAGAGGGAGAGATTTGATGACAAAAAATTATGCACTATGCTTGAGGCTGTACAACTCGTCGCCGGCAACTCGTCTCTGATTAGTAAACAAGTAATTTTACATCTTCGCAAATATGCATCAAGTGTAGTTTTCGCATAGACATATTTGTTAAGATTGACCGGCAGAACATAATGATAAACTGTCCAAATACGAGATTTTTTCGACATCCTGTAAAAAAACATCACAATTACACAATATTTGTGACTTATTTTCCTATCAAACTTTTTATACGAGTAAGCTTGTAAAATGATGAAGGTTTCTACATATTTATACTGATAAATCGAACCATAGGAGCATGAGAAACATTGGAAATTCACTAAAATTCAGTGGATTACGTTCTATAATATGTTATAGAATAGCAGGTCAGCAATGAATATGACAATAAAAAAGAGCACATGAAGATTAACATAATGATAACTTAGTTATTAGGATTAGTCCAGCAAATTAATCAATGCAGGATTTATTCTAAGGAAAATCATCCAAGCTATATTCTGATGACTTGTCTTACATGTGCTCTTAGCTATTGTCATACTGAGATTCTTATCTGCCTTCTGACTCCGAATCTAATTAGTCTTCTTACACTTTTTACCATACACTGTGTGGAAAAAAACAGTGCTCGAAGACCGATGATGCTAAGAGACAGGTCTTGGAACAAATGTGACAAGGAAAAATAGCACATGAAGATAAACTAAATAATGACTCAGTTAATTAGGTTGGAAGAGTGAATGAACGTTTAATTTCGACAAATTAACTAAGCTATATTCTGATGACATTTGACAAG